ATATGCTCTGAAACCCAAAATGTCGAACACTGATGTGATATTCAGAAAATACCACATTGGGAAGCCTTTGAGATTCTGAATTTTCAGATTAGAGATTGTCACTGATAAAACCTATGCACATATTCCAGAACCCAAAACATTCTGAAATCAGAAACAGTTCTGATCCAAAGCATTTGGGAATAGTAACATATAAACAAAATGTAGCTGGTGTGTAATCCATCTGGGGTAACTACTTTTGTACTCTTCCTACTCAGCACCCACCCTCTGAACTCCTGTGACCCCATGAATTAAGCCATCCTGCACAGACACATCGGCATGCAGGTTAAACATGAAAAGAAAATCTGCCTTGCACTAGCCCACAGTGAGCTACACAGCTTTAGTTTTACAAGTCTACAGTACAGTAAATTAAATTTCTGAGAATGCATGGGGGCAGGACCACCTATCTAAAATACAGGAATCAGAATGAAGTGCCTCTCTATAAGTAAAAGTGTTTCATGGGGAAAAAAGAGACCGGTCTGAGGCACACAGCTAGTAACCCAGCTTGCTTTACCATGGGCCAGCAACTTATGAATCTTTGCAGAAGCATCAAAACTCTACGCAGTAGTGGTTTTGTGCCGAGGTGACAGATAACAGAGTGGACTTTGAGGAGTTAATCTCAGCAGCTAGGAAGTGGTAGGGTAAGACTCTCAGAGGACACAGGCAACACACTCTGCTTCTGACTACTTGATAAAGACAATGGATGTTAGTAGGTCCTCCCTCCACTGGTATGCAGCTCAGATTTTAGATAATGGAGCAGACCAGACCTGTCAACAAAGTTAGGTTTTTACATATTAAAGAGAAGGGGCTGGGGATTTAGCTCAGCAGCACTGTGCCTGCGTAGCAAGCATGAGGTCGTGAGTTCAGTTCTTGGTACCGGAAAAAAACAAAAACAAAAAACACATATAAAGAGAACTCCATCTTAAGAATAATTATTTCATTCTTTTTTTCTTTGTATGTATATGCATAAACATACATTTTACTGAACATGAAAAAAATTGTAACCAGTGATTTAATATTTAGGGCCATAGTGTTTGATGCTTTATATGTCCTATTTTACCTTCTACAGCTTTCTGAAAGTGTCACTTTAAGAATGAGATAAAGTATTTCACGCTGCTCACAATTTATTCTAAAATCCATGAAGGTTCAGCATGCTGACTTTGTGGCAATCATTTTTATAAACAGGAGATTGACATTTTACCACAGAAGCTCTCCCAGGATTTACACTTGTCAGCAAAGCCCAGCACATGAAGTCATGCAGACACACCTGGGAAATCAGGATGGATCAATTAGACATGGGAACAGAGCCCCTCTGCTAGGAACCTTCCCACACCGGGCTATCCATTTTTAAAAATATGTAATTCTCAGATTCTCTCCTACGAGGTAGATGAATCTTTTTAAACTTCTAATAAAATTACGAAAGCATTTGTGCAATTGTTCATATTTATTGAGGTTCTGAGAACTAGAATAATGATGGACTCGTTGCATCTTTCAGAAACTGTGGAATAGTAAAATGTTATAGTCAAAGATCAAGAAGAACAAAGTCACAATTATTTTTAGCTAGAAGTTTAACAATCAATATTTTCTTATATTGCCAGAGGGAACTGATGCCATACAAACGTTTTCAAAAGCCACTTGTCAAAAACGTATCCTGTTCACTTGTTTTTACTCAGTAACCAACTGGCAGGGCTCTCTCCTTAAGCAGTCATTTGAGGTATGGGTAATGACCTAGGTAGAGCACTGTGGCAACATTCACTATGGCTGGAAATGGACGCCTTGAGAAAAAGAAAAAGATTACAGTTTATCGGCGTGAAGAGATTAAAGTGAAGTCCTCAAGGTAGTGAGATGAAAAAACTACACTAAAATACACAAAACAAGTAATCATTATATAGAAAACACAGTCTGTGAATTAAAGGAAGTTTGTTTGGGACTTGATTATCAAAAGTCCAGAGAAATACAGAAACACAGTATAAGTATTCAATACAATGATAAGAGAGCAGTAAGACAACAGGAAGAAATATTTCAGATAGAACTATCTTCCTTGGTGCTGGGTGATGGGCTAAGCTTCACATCATCTGAGAAGCTGGACACATTTAACAGTAACAGTGATCACAGCAAGAGAGGTCCGGGAACCAGATCAGGAAAGCCAAGCCATCATCTCTGGCTACGGGAAGAGGAGTGGCCCGGAGTGACAGCAAGGGAAGAGCTCAGGGCCCAGTGGCTGCCTCCACAGCTTTCCCTGAACCATGGCGGTGACCCTTCCTGAACAGATTCTCCGGCAGTCTCAAAAGTGAGGGTTTATGAGACAAAGGGACTCAGAATTCTTTTTCATATTTTCCAGTTTCTACAGAACTATGATTATTTCCTAAGCCAGATGTGTCACAGCACAAGCCTCCTAACCCAATCAGGCCAGCCAGCCACCCACAATTACCCTAGGATCTCACCAAGGCCATATGCTGAGTCAGAAATGAAAGAACTCTCTGAACATACACAGAAATAGGTCAATGATCTCAGGAAACTCTGTCTCACTCTCTCTTTCTGCCTCTGTCTCTCTCTCTTTCTCTCTTTCTCTTTCTCTTTCTCTTTCTCAGACATCCACAGCTATTTATTAGGGTGTGTGTCTGGGGAGGTATGTAGCTCCTCTCCGATTGACTAAAGAGGTCTAAAGTTAGGACAGGGTTCAAGACCTACTTTCCCATTTTTCTCTAGACAGAATTCATACTTTCCTGCATACCACCTCTCCACTGGCTGAGGGAGAAAAAAAAGAGTGTGATACCCCCATGAGAGACGACATAGGAGGCATACCCCACATGCACTCTGCCCTACCCAGCCCATCTCACTGCCCTCACCCTACACAAAAGCTTCTTAGTCCAGGGCCAAGGTATAGGAGACATATTTTAAAAACAGCTACCCTAAGTAAGATACAATAGAGTACATAGTTTGTGATACTATTTACTAAAAAAAAAAAAGTAGTGATACCTCAGTTCCCAAAGGCAATTCTTTCTAGGATTCTAGTCACAACCAAATTGGACAAGAACCAAATCAAATTCCATGGTTAAGTTCAATATTGACCTAATGGGGAAATTCGATTCGGTTCTCGCCCAGTTCAGTTTGCAACCAGAATCGAGGACAGAATTAAGTTTGGGCACCAGTGTACTGGCAAAACTCCTGTGTCCTGTGAGAAGAGGACGACGGTCGCTGTTCTCGGGCACAGCGCCAGGAAGGTGGCAGGTGGGAGGCGGGGCGATAGTAACGCCGGGCCCACAGATGCAGCCGCTGGTGCCACGCGCATGAGCAGCCTCTTTGTGAAGAACCAGCAAGCTATAAGACTGCACGCACTATCCCACATGTATATTTGGACAGTTTTTCTTTTAATTTAGCTTCTAAATAATTGCAGTTTCTTACTAAATTGTTGTTCTTTCTCAGACATCAAATTATTGAGAAACTGTACAGAGCTCTTGAATTTCTCTAGCAAATTAGTGGTTCAATAAATATAAATAAAATCTAGAATCTGTATTATTCCTTCTTAATTTATCATTGATCAAATTGCACCTCTGAGCAGTTATATAAAATGACTTTTTGATTGGCATTTCAACGTATGCCCTCCACAGCACACCACATGCACAGATGGTTTCCCACCTTCAAGATGGCACTGAGACACACTCAGTAAAAACCGTGCCTCCACTTGGAATCTCAATCATTCCCCAGCTAGCAACACTGGCATCATCAGTGCTCCACGAGGCCAATGCCCGCTGCTGGGCAGCAGCGAGAGCTACAGCTCTCACCCTGCAAGACCACACCAGCATGGCGAGCACACCACTTACTAAACTAGCACTCCAAGGTGATCAGGAGTATCAAGCATATGTTTGACTTTGACATCTTCAGTTTACACTTGGCTTATTAGGACATAAGTCACCTGAGCCCAGGAGCTGCCTGGCACACCATGAAGCCTGGATCCAGGTTTGTGCCCTCAGGTGACAAGTACGGATCTACTACCTGCTGCACAGGCAGCTGCAACCTCTCAGACCTCACTGTCCTCTTCTGTAAAGCAAGTTCCCCAGCACCTACCTCCGAGCATGCTGTGGAAATCAGGTGACCCAGGCACACACACTAATTAACCCTGTGCCTGGCATTTAATGAATGGTCAGTGATTTGTAACTGTGAGCAGCAGTGGTAATGAGAACTGTTCTCCAAAGAGAGGACTCTACAGTATCACTTAACAAAAACACAGAATTTACAGAGAAAAATACTCAGTGAAAAAGAATTATCTTTTAGAATAATTCAAATAAAATGTGTATAAAAAGGCTGAGTATAGCCTAGCTTCCTGCCAGACGACTTGCAGTCTCTGTATTCAGAACAAATTGGAGTGACCTCTTACAAATCATTTACACTCTCTGAACCTTAGTCTCCTCACCCAGAAAATGGGAATAATAATCCCCAAAGCATCAACGCTGAGGTTTTAGGTACTATTTGCAAAAGGTGTTAATACTGCCTTGCACATTCAAAGGTTAATTTCAAGCAGACGGACTAAGAGAAGTCATTAAAGGGTTTTACCAAAAGCAGGAAAATTTTCCATTCTCTGTACTGCATTTTTCCTCTTTTCTCTGTAGCATTCTTACAACTCGGTTTCTGTTCTAATCAGACCTGCTCCTTCCAATGCTACAGAAGTTGATAGCTGTATTTGTCTCCAAATCTTCCAGATCCTCTGCCCCTCCACGTGCACACCAGAGATGATACGGGGCAGTAATAAACCCATGCTTGCAAGCCTAGCTGCCAGGACAAGTCTGACATCACTGTAACTTAACCTGAGAGCGGGACCCTCCTCCGGAAAGGGAACAGAAATGTTCCTGGACTATGGTTGTTTTTTTTAACCACCAATAGGAAAAATTTCAGAACTACTTACTTAGCTCCCTTCATTCCCCACTTTGAACTAAGATAAGATGACATCTGAGAACGAGGCTTACCTATTTGCACCATTTCTTCACGACCAGCCTGGAAAGGAGAGGGGGGTGAGAAAAAGACACAGTTACTGGGTTTCGTCTTATCACCACCTGCGTCTTACTTCTACCCGGAGCTTTTCGGGAGCTGCTAATCAGGCGCGGGAGCCGGGCCGGGCCGGTGCCGGCTGTGCCTCGTCGCGGGCGATGTGTGACAGGCGCCCGGGCCAACTCAGAAGCCATTTGGGGGAGGGAGTCGTCTGCAGTTTTAATTGTAATTCAGTGTGTCAAATTCTAACACTCGTGGTCTTTTCGGAGAACTCCCGTGCTGGGTCAGGAGCAGAGCAGCCTCCGCATTGAAACAGGCTAGAAAGAAGCCTTAAACGGGGCGGGGACGCTGGGGGTCGCCGCCCTCCCCACTCTGCCCCGGCCAGCCGGGTCCGGCGGTCCGCACCGCCCTGCCTGCCCTCGGCCCGCGGCACCGG